ATTTATGAACAAGATCTAAAGGAAGAGAAGGAGCAAGTCATGCAGGTGCAGGTATGGGGTGTCAGGAAGGGGCACGTGTTGAGGATATTCTGTGTAAAGCATGAACTAGATTCAAGTTAACAGAGAAAAACAGGTCAGAGAAGGAATTATGGGGGCTGGAGAGGGTCAACAGGTAAGTAGGGCAGATTACTTGGGTGGCTATATTGGTCACATGACTGTTATTCTGAGGGAACTGGAGGATGTTGTGGAGGTTAGTGGAAGAGTGGCGTATTTTGGCTTGTCTTTTGAAAGCATCATGCCAGGTAGAACGTGACCTGGCCCAGATCACTTTCTATATACCAAGTCTAAGAAAGGCCACATTACTAGAATATGGTATATGAAAGAGTAAAATTAGGAGTGATGAGGAGATTTTTCCAGTGCGCAAGGATGGGGTTGACATTGTGCCAATCTGGGGAAGATCATGAATTGTTTATTTCTTATTTATTTATTTTTGTGTGTGTGTGTGTGACACCGTACTCATCCACATGAAGATGCTCATTAGGAAATGAAGCATATCCTCGGGAAGGAGGCCAGGGATGGAGATGAAAGTGTGGCCTCTGCTGTTGTGAGGTGCTCTTTAAGGCTCCAAGGTTGAAGATATTCACCTAGAAAGGGACTATCCAGTACTAGCTGTTAGCACATGCCAGCGAATGGGGAAGTCCAGTGCATAGGAGCTGTCTCAAGAAGCATCTCCTGGCTGTGACAAAGACCTCAGAGAAGCAGCACACAGCCAGAGTTGGTACCTGCACTGGATGGGGAGGCAGCCACTGATAACCCTCTGCAAAGCCACTATCCTGGGGATGAAGGACTGGTGTAGGAGGTCCTTCTGTTTGTGTGTTGCTTTCATTGGATAATGAATAAAGAAACTGCCTTGGCCTAATTGATAGGACAGAATTTAGGTAGGCAGGGTAGACAGAACTGAATGCTGGGAAGAAGGGCAGAGTGGCAGACACCATGGATCTCCTGCTTGAGATGGGGGCTGGTTAGAATCTTGCCGGTAAGCCACAGTCACGTATCAATACACAGATTAATAGAAATGGGTAAAATTAAGATGTAAGAATTAGCCAATAAGAAGCTAGAGATAATGGACAGTGTTTAAATGAATACAGTTCTGTGTGGTTATTTTCGGGTGTAAGATAGCCGGGCGCCTGGGACGACAAGCAGCCTGCTCCTCCTGTTACAAAAGACTGATTTAAAATAGCTCAGAGGTTAAGGGAAAAGATTCAGTTAGTGAGTGCACACAGTTCCTCCAGGGAAGTTTGTCTTTGAAAGGGAGCAGACCCACAGATGGAAGTGAAATGGGGTAGCGGGGCCAAGGGTAGGGTTGTGCCACAGGACGCTGTATCATCAGGGGTTGAAACCCTCCTGTGGAATGGAGGGCATTGGCAATGCTGAAGAGAAGGCGGTGGGGTGAAGCAATGGCCGTTGTTTGAAAAGGATGTGGATGACACGCCAGGACCAATGGGAAGAACTATGGCTTTGGGAGCTTCTGTCCTCATCCTACGGTCATTGATAATAAGTTTCACTAGACAGCACCAGGAAAATGAGAAGCCAGGGTTGTAGTGCGCGGAGATGTAGCGCGCACCATGGTGCTGTCATGTCAGGGGCACGGAGCCTGGGCGCCGTTTGCTGTTCCACGTCAAACTTGACAGCTTGTGCGCAACTTGACAGACAACTTGTGCGCATGCGCGCCCACAGCCCATGCGCACACGCGCGCGCGAGCCCCCCCCCCCCAACGCGGGGAGTATTTCGATCTGGCCATCCGATCTGGCCAATCATAATTTAAGCACGATCACTCCATTCTGGCCTGAGCCATTGGGTTGATGACACGTCAGGGCTTTGTCTGGCACCCTATATATTCTTCTGCTTCACGGGGACGGGGTCTTTTGCCTCTTTACAACCTAAAGTGTAAGTGCTCCAATAAAGTGTGTTCTGAGAAGAATCCTGTTGCGGTCGTCTCATCTGCTGGCGGGAGCGGCGTGCTGCACAGGGTGTTTGTAGCAGTTTCTAAATGGATATCAAAAAGGATCAAGGATTCGGAAGGGTGGTGCAGGAAGTGGCAGCGGGCCAAGGGCTGAATACGAGAGCAACACAGGAGAGTGTCTGGGAGTGGGGGTGGGGGCTCAGAGCCTTTCTCGGTAGAGGAAAGAGTTTCAGAGAAGTGGGTATTGGGAGAGTGAGGTGGGATTTTGATCTGGAAATGGCAGTGAGGAATTACCATGTGTCTCGTTCCTGTTACTACTCCGGCACACATTTCCTCTGTAATAATGTATCGTAGCGGGTCTGGGACTGTGCGGCTAGGGAATCTTTGGCTTAGAGCTTACCAAAGTCATCCCAACTGCAGCAGGAGCGTCTGTAGGAAGCATTTCTTGAACTGTTGTATTAGTGACGGAAATGAACACTTGACAGTTTCGACTGGAAGAATTCTTCAGGAAGATACATAGAAGTACAACTATATCCAGTTTTGCAGAATTTTGACCATTCAAGACACTTTTGCAAATAAGAGCTTTAAAAATGTAACCACTCATAGGCACAGCAGAGGAATACTTTCTAGTATTAGAGACTTGCTATCTCTCTGCAGCTGCACTAACAGTTTAAGACAGCTAAAATGTAGAAAATGAAACGTGTTTAAAACATGTAGTTTTCCAGTGTGCTCAGCTGCTGTCCTTTCCCTTATGGCTGCTGCCCTACATGTAAAATTCTGACTCAGGAAACGTTCAGGTCCCTTAAACAAACAACAGTATGCTTGAACCTGTGGGAAGGGATAAGCAAAGGGCAGCCGAGGCATGGGCGTTTGCTGGGTCTGATAGTGATCCACTGCTGGCAATGAACACTTGCTTCCCGTCAGCACTTGCCAGTCCTTCGTTCTGCAAAGCAATTTGCTGTCTATAAGAGTCATGCAGAGTCAGCGAGTGGGTGCAAAGACGATCACACACAGCCAGAGGTTGGAAAGCTCAGGGAATATATTTTTTTTTATTATTTTCAATTGTATGATATAGATTTCACCCAAATGTATAGCAAGACTTTGATCTGACTTAAAACAGTACAAACCTCATCCAGAAATCTTCTGTTTAGAAACTGTAGGGGAGACCTTTGTTGTTTTGTGTTGTGGGCTTTCATGGGCTGGCGTGTGCAGAAGAATAAATCTCAGGTGGTCTAATGCTATGCACATTGCTGACTATCACAAATGTTTATGGAGAAACTTCCAGGCCAATGGCACAGTATGGAAATAAAGATGACACTGGAGAATTCTTGGCAAAAGTGGAGATGCTGTCAGCTCGGGACCTGTGAACGGTGAGGGACGTTTACTCTCTGCTGGGCTCTGGAAAAGAGGTCATTTTATGGCCACACTGTGTGAGACTCATGGGAAGACAGCTCATGTTAGGGTTCCTCATACTGCTGCAGTGAGCAAGGCCAAATACAATGGCATTGATGAGACATCCCAGCCAGTAAATGAAGAACAATTGGACTTTAGGGGCTAAATTTTGTGTCATAGTCTTTTGTGTAGTCTCAGAGAAAGCAAGTTCTTAGCTCATTAGATGTATAATTGCTTGGGACACTTAGATTTAATTTTGGGGGGGAATGAACTAAAACTAAGTTGATAATTTACAACTGTCGAGTACCAGAGAGTCTCTGGAATGTTTGGAGCATGGGAGATTCTTTCTTCATGCTGACCAGCACGCTAAGGTCAAAGTCTCACGAACACCTGTATCTTCTTTCTTAGCAGGGATGCAGCACATTGTATACCGCCAAGCAGTCAGCACAGAGGCAAGGGTGCCGGTTCACGTGGACTTTCCAAGACAGCACACACAGACAGCTTGCACGGTTCGAGGATGCAGTGACATGACCTCGTACACACAAAAACAGTAGGGAGAGCAGTTTTTAAGGAGAACTCTGTGGACAGTGAAGTCAGACTTCGGCCCTTCGTTGTCAATGGACAAAACCCAGATGGCTCCAGCCTGAGTATCACACACACCCTCTTGCTAAACTACTGTACAGGAGGGACCAGAGACACAGCCATCAGGGCATCACAAGTGCACACAGAGAATTGTTAGAAGTAGTGACAACCAGAAACTACAACGGCTTTGAAAAATGTGGACTCGGTGCAAGGTCTGTTAGGTGTGCATCCCAGAAAGCCATGGTTGCGTTAGAAGCAGGGGACCCTGTCTTAGTGGCCTCCTGAGAGTTTGCCTCAAACTGTCTTTACCCTACTGAATAAGAATCATAATCATACAAACAAGTCTAAGTCTTAAAGTATAAAATTCCCCCAGAAAGTTACTGAGCTCTAACTAAAGCTATTAGGTTTCACGTGGTAGTCAATATAACTGTTGCTTGTATGCTGTGGGATTCTACATATGATCTGTACAGCATCCCAGTCCATCTACCTCCAGCTTTCTCTGGATATAGGAATCTAAGCTACAATGTCCTGGCTGGCACTTAAGCACAGTGGTCTCTTCCTAGGTCCTACTCCCACATTATGGTGTGAGCACGCTCAGTGGGTTTGCTGATGGTCAGCAATTTAGCGTGTTGAGGATGCACAGGGGTACTAAAGCTTTATTTTGGGAAGCCTCTTCTTTCTTGTAGAAAAGCAGAAGTCCGAATAATTTCTAGGAACAAACCTTTTAAAAGGCAAGATCAAAACAGAAGAAATTTTAAATTACAATAGGTAAAGAGATCACACCCACCAGAAAAAAAAATAGAGAAAAGGAAATCCACCTCCAAATTTGGAAACTGTAAGATGAACCACAAGGGCACCATTCTAATCTGCTTTGCATGACCAAGGTATCACAATGTAGGGTTGAGACCTGTCATAACTACTGGAATATTTACTTTTGAAGATAACTGCTTCAAGGAATTCTATAAATGTGTTTTAAGGGGCAGAGATTTGCGGGTCTCTTTTAGATTTGATTTTGCCTTACGCTCAGTGCAAAATATTTGTACAAAAATATAAAAGGCATGGCTTGATATTTAACGTCTGTGTTTTATTTTGTTTTGTTGGCACCAGAAAAAAGCTCATGTTATGTAATGTCACTGTCCATACTGTAAACAAGACGGCATTAATATGCTTTCTTATGATTTTTGTTCCAATGAATCTAGATTTTAAAAAATACATTCACAAACTACCTTATGTTTAAACACAATGATTCCCTTTTATTTCTTAACTGTACCCAATGTCCCACAATAAAAAATCATTTAAAGCTGTGTGTTTTGGATGTATCACGTAGAAATAAGAATGAAACAAAACAAAACATAAAAACGAAGATCAGTTTGCAACATAATTTAAGAAGGCTCTGGTTCAAACTGTCACAGCAGCAATATAAAGAGCTGGTGGCAATCACGTCTGGAGACAAGACCCAAATCCACATTATTTAATGTTCATATCAGCATCCAATTTTCGCAGTTGCTAAATTTAACCCAGAGCTCTTGCTGAATTTGTCCCCTAGAATTTGTAAAGACAGTGTTATTCAGCAGCATAACCCCAGTAGTAAAAATGAGAACGGGAGGATTTCATTGCTTCTGAGAGCTAAAGGGACCATGATGGGTTCATCCTGGGGATGCCTGGAGACCACCCTCATTGCACACCTGTGTGTTACCTGCTTCAGATAACTCCACATGACCTTACTCTCGGGGAGTACAGAATAAGCTGTAGGTTGGAACTCTGAATATTTCCCCTTCACATCCCCTTTGGCCAAACCACCAGATTAAAAAGGTACCATTCCCCTAACCTATGCTTCGTTCTCATTAATAGTCCACTAGCTGCTCATTTGTTTAGGCAAAATCAGTAGGATCACGATCTTTGTTTTTCTTTTCTGATCCATTTACAGTAATTGCAATCTTTAAAAACATACTTCATTAGGTTTTGGTCATTGGAGATTTTTTTTCTTCCTCCAATTTTTAAAGAACAATTTGGTCAACTACTGTTTTGAAAATATTCAATACAGCTGAGATTGCCCAGTTGAGCTCTCTATATGTCTCCTGGAGATAACACTGCTGTGATGAACAGAGAAACGAAACCAAACAAAACGAGGTAGGTTAAAACAGGAAGCACAGCACAGATACCATTTCGCAACACCTGGATACCATAGGCGGCCATGCTCATAGCTTTGGGAAGAATCCCAGCCAGTCACATAAAGGGTCAAATCATTCGAGTAAGGGTTTAGAAGGACACAAGTCAACCGGAACTAAACACATACACACCTCTGCACAGATGTTGTTAACAGTATGTTGGGAAGTTTAGAGGAACATAACGTGATTAGGGTCTCAGAATTTTGGCCAAAGCCTTGCCTTCAGGTCCCCTAAAGTCTGAGCTGTTGGTACCTGCAGTGTCTGGGGCAGGCTGGAGAGTCTAGTCCCTTGACCCAGTGCGAACACAGGCAGCTCAGAAACTTTTATTAATAATTCTTCTTTGTCACAGTTTTTATCTTGAGAAAGTGGCACCCTTGGGAGGGAGCTGGGTTTCCAGAGCATGGCTGTCATGTTAACCCCAGCTCCAGGAAAGATTCTCCATCAGTCTCAGTCCTAACAAAGCCCAAACGATGGGACCTCTTAGCAGGGACGCTTTGTGCCTTGAAGAAAGAACGCATGTGTATTTACATAGACATATTAGCTCATTTCTCAGAAGTTCCTTCGGGGTGACCCACCTGTCATCCCATGTTTCGCCCTGATCTCTTGCATAATAATCAAGGGACAATGGCATCCCAGAGTCCCTCCACAGTCACAAGACCATTCAACTCAGTGGCATCTCTGTCCCATTCAACACCCTCCATCCAGAAAGGGCCATATCAAAATACGGCCTGCCAGACTCACAACATAGCAGTTGGTTTTATTAGATTAAGGCTAGTAGTTTAGCCATTTAAAATCTATTTCCCCAGAGAGGAGAAAACCAGCTATTTTGCTTCTCTTTCAAAAATTCATTAGCCAGTAGCAATTAAAAAAAAATCAACAACAAAACATCCTCTTGGGTTGGTGAAGGCAAGAGAATTCTTAAATTACCCGACAACGCGGTTATGGCCTTCAGTACAGGGAGATAAGGTACATTTATTGTGCTGTCTCTCACTACCGGGAATTGGAGATTTTACAACATACCATATACTTAAAGCTAGCAGGCAGACAGAATTTAAAAAAAGTCTAATTTCCCAGTATGCATTCTTTCCCCATTCTTACAAAATAAGGGGGTAAAGAAAAAAAAGTTTAAAAAAATCCCAGACCGAAAGAACTGAAAAGTCAGCACAAACACAGCTTAATCATAAAAGCACACAATTTTGTTTCTATCCCTAACTCCGAAGGGCACAAGGTCCAACTGTGTCCACAGACAATGCAGCATCCTCGGCATCTCCCGGACATTCCTGCCACCTCTTTCTCTCCTTCTCAACCAGGCTGCAACACTGAAAGAGGGACTCTATTGGGAGGGACGGAGGGAGAGGAAACGGGAAAGCGGGATGTTCAACCAGGCCTTCTGAGTCTGCCTCTAGACTGGCAAACGTCCACATGAGTTATGTTCTCTTACATTAGAAAGAACACCATGAAGATAAGTGCCAAGTGCTCTTCCGTTACCAGTTCATCATGGAATTTCTGTTGAGGGTCATGAAAAACACTTGGCTACTTCCTCCAGATCGCACGGATGCAAAAAATACCTGTTTGGAATTAAAAACAAGTTAGTTCAACTTCGTGGGTTTTTTTCCCCCTTCTCTTCTTCAACTGTACAGCCATTTTTCTCTCACATGTCCTACCCTTGCAACACATTCAGTTAACTTTCCCTGGCCAGTGCTTATAGTGACATTTCAGACAGTGCATTGCATGGAAATCCTCCTGCCCTTATGTTTTCTCAGATTATTATTTATTGCTGGACTTCTGGCCTGGGACAATGATTATTTCTACAAAGGTTTCGGGACACTCTTTCTCTCCCTCGTGAGTGACATGGAGGCAGATGAAAGAGAACCCCTTAATTCCCAAACTTATCGACAGTTGTACAACTTTGATGTTCAATTTTTAAACTTAAAACCAAAGATAGAGTGCTTATGGTTGTCTAGGCTAAGGTGTTAGATGCCTGCCCAGCCTGGTGCCTCAGGGTATGCTGATGCTGGCAGATCCCAAGCCAAAGGAGATAATGACATTAATAAGCGGAACCACAGCCCATTAGGTTTGAGCCCGTTCAATCATTTTATCAAAGGCTTGGGAAAAGTGTGCAGAATTCAGATTACTGCTTGCTTGAGCTGAATGTCAGTGAACCACTGCCCCAGGCAAATAATATCTGGGGCTGTGCAATAGCCCTTCAATCAGTCAGTGTTTGTGGTCTGAGGAATGAGTATTCGTCCCTAGTGCTACTTTGTCCTCATGGTTCCTTAAGAAGCTTGAGGAATTGCCTGACATTTAGCTGATGCTAGAGAGGGAAGTACAGGTACTTACTCTATGGGTCAGAGACTCGAAATAGGGGTGACAGTGAGGGTTTGTTGAAAGGAAGGGTCACTGTTGTCCCCATCTGTGCATTCAGGGACTAAATTAGAGACCCTTGCCTGAGAGTATGGGCTGGCCAAGGCCTGCTGGGATATGTCGTCAAGAACGGCAGGGCAGCTGTCCATACCCAGACATTTCATCTCTTGGGTTCTAGGCCTGTAGAAGTGTTGGAATCGTACTTGCTAAGTCTAGTTTCTGACACGGTCTGGTAAATCCCCTAGAACCATCCTTGTCTCCCCGAGCTGCCATCCATTTGATCACACGAGGTCGTTAGCAGCTAGCCAGGGTCACAGAATCCAGACCCATATTACCAGGGTTGAATGAAGACCAGTCTGGCCTCTGAGGAACTGGGGTGAACAAGGAGATATAAACAGCTCAACCCACTGCATTCCTTCCTACAGGTGTTCAAATCTGCTGCTCGGGGACATGGTTGTTAGGCTGACTATAGTCTCAGAGCATGGGTTCACAAATGTAGATTAGCTACTAGGAGGGCAAAGGAGAGCATGGTCACCTCAGTGGACTCCTGTGGGGTGACCGATCATGCTGGACAGACATGGCCACTTACATTAGAACGTAGCCCCCCTGTGACATGTCAGGAGACTCATGGTTGGAATGAGACAGGACATGGCAGGAGTTGAATTTGTGATTTTGTTTCTTGGCAATGAGTGGCAGTTTTTAGAAGTTCATCTACATGTCAGATGCTTTCCACTTAAGGGTGAATAGAATGTGAAAGCTAAGTCCCAACAGTGTCTCTATGAAAGGCCTAAAGGTAAAACCATGAGGCTGACCCATTGTGAGATGGTGAATGATGGGCCAGCTGCTCTAAGCGCATAGGAGAGTCTGCAATGGTTGTTAATCATCAGAGGCCCACAGGCCACAGCAGGTACTAAGAGTTTACAAGGAAAGTTTAGATGTTTTATGTTGGTTTGGATGCATGAGTTATAGATTCTGAATGTTCACACGAATCAAGTCAGGCAACACCATCTCAAGATACCCTATTGATCCCTTAATACAGTTATGACTCGGCAGCATCAAGGAAAATGAAGGTTTCACAGGTACCTGGAGGTCTCTTAAAAGGCAAACACTAAAGCAAAGTTGAAACGGATTTACCTTATCATTTCTTTCACATAGAAACTTTAACCTTTGAGCTCGCTTATGCATAAACACTCCATCCAAATGTCCTGTTTCCACTGACCGGATCTCAATAGCTTTCTCGCCCCAGCCCATTATCTGATTGGAATGAATGTAGGCTGTCAAAAGGAATTTCCAAAACTGCATTAAAAACATTAGATGGGCAACACGCACAGCATCTGTTCACATCTTAAGCACAAACAAAGGACAAAGGACTTGAGGTCAAACAGACAAAGCAAGTCTTACAGTGTTAGTCACAGATTTTTTTTTTCTTTTTGGTGTGGACTCAAATGGTTGTTTCACACTTCTTGATTCTCATTTCATTGGGGGGGTGTAACTGCTGAAGGAGATAAGGAATGGTCAACCTACCCACAGAAGTGGGCATTTCTCCCCACTGGAGCACCACATCCTTCGTGATCCGGCCGTAGGTGTTCACATACACCCCCTCGTCCTCGTAGCAGACCAGCATTTCCATTCCATCCGTTTTGGGCAAGATGACGATGGCGTGAGGAGTGATGTTGCCCTGAATCTGCAGGACGAACAAAGCCCAAGAGTTACCTGACTTAAAATCCAGAAAACCTCTTGACTTTTAAGAGTTTCAAATGAAATTTTATGTCACTTTTTACTCTAGAGATTGACATCAACTTTAATGTGATCACCTCTCTGGTCAAAAGCACCGGTGTCTACACATACAGCTACTTGATCTGGAATCCATCTTACCGGTTCTGAGAACAGAAACACTGCGTGTGTGGAGTACTGGTGTGCTAATCTGTGGACCACTGGTATACACCACTCCTAGTCTACACACGAGGGCACCATCAGAAAACTTTGTGGGAGATGAGGGAACTGCATCTCAGGGTTGTGTGACTTGATCAAAGCTACACGAGTATCTGGAGGTAGACGGAGGTGGGCCCTGAGCACATCTCCCTGACACTGAGCTTCATGGGTTCCCGCAAGAACGACTGCTTCCACAGGAGGCAAGAATGTCAGGCGCCTATAAGTAGCCCATGAGTACAGGGCCCAGAATAGTCATCTGAGAGCTCCAATATCGAAACGACCGAAATTAGTGATTTCTTTGGGATAAAAGGTAGAATTAGCCTACTACTGGTCACACTTCTGAAATAAGCATAGATTGCCTGGCTCTATGGGAAGGGAGGTGGTACTTCTACTCCTGGTTGACAGTCTCATATCATTCCAACATGTGATTGACAGACAGGGCTTTGGGGGAATTGAAGACAATCACAGCGGTGACCAAGTCTTAGTGTTGATGTAGACATGTAAGTAAAAAGCTATAAAATGCAACATTGGGTGACAACTGCATGTGTGTAAATGCATCAAAACACATGCACAAAGAATGGGCTTCTTTAAATTCTCAAAATGCCAATCAGCCAGAAACCAGCCTCAGACTATCCTGAGAGTTTGTTAGCCTTAGGATTCATGAAACAGAGCTTGCACCACACCGGCGCGCATAGGTCCATCTATGTATTTCCCTTAGACCGTGTGTCAGCATAGTGATCTGAATACCATATTGCTAATAAAAGAAACTTGAGTATGTTGGGTCCTGAGCCAATTTAATGATAATGAAAATAACCCTACAGAATAGGTACTTCGAGTCCCACCTTACAGCTGGGGGAGCTGAGGGTCCCCTATAGCCAGGTTCAGACGTACTAGAAAGGGGTGGATCCTAGTGCGTCTGCTCCACCACTCCACAAGCCCTCAGGCTGATGGAAAAAACTGGAAACAACATAAAAGTGATTCCCCTCCCCCAAGAATTTAGTATTTAGTCATTGTCTTTCTCTAGCATAGAATCAAAACCTGAAAATGGGAACTCAACTATTGTATAAAATAGGCATTTCACCTTGAAATCCAACGAAACAAGACGATAATCTGAAAATAATGCAATTTTTGTGCTACTTAGCTTGAGGGAGTAATAGAATCTTTAAAAACATCTGTCTGCTGATACCCCAAATTTACAACTTTTAGAGATTATCATGATTTCAATTGAAATAAAGGCCCAACCCAATCTCTCCGCATGCAAGCTGTCATGCAGGTGCAGGAGACAGTTCGATTCCTGAAACTTACGTGGGATGGTATGTAGATATCATAGGAGTTTCCAGAATCAACATCAATTACATGGAAACCAGTGTGTGAGCCAAAAATGACCTTTAACCTTTGACCTTCTTCTACTGTGAGGTCAACAAGCAGAGGCTTATGCTGAAGATCTGCAAAAGACTTTAAAAATCACCTCATTAGTATCCACGCCATTAAAAGAGACTGTCTTAATCCTAGGGTTTCACTTGACCACTGTCTTTAAGTGAGTGTTTTCCATTGAAATGCTAGGAAAGCATCTCTTTCAGGCTCAGGTCTACTCATGTCTGACTCCAGGAGAAAAGCTGTATTCCCTCTTTCCCTTTATTGTCTCACACAATAAAAACTGTTTAAACTGTCCATTTTGATAGTGGCATGTGTGTTAAAAGCTTGGTGACTGAATACTACTTCGCATTGTCCTCTAGAGAGTGTAGAGTGTGCAGTGATCTCTATGACCCCCTCTTTCCCCAGGTGGTACCCAGGTTCATCTATGGTTGTTACCTTCGAGAACAGTCTGGGAGCGCCACTGTGTTAAAGCTGTTGGAGATTAGTGTGTGTACACTGGTTATGATTTCCCTGTTTGTGACTGTCAGTTTCTCTAAACTTCGTGCTGTATTCTGAGAGTCACGTCTGGGGGCTAAGAAGGGGGGATGTGGAAGATGCATCAAAACACCCATGGCTTGGCTTGTCGTCAAGGATTTAACTGGAAAGCCAAAGAGGAGAGCTCAAGCCAAGTTTGTCAGAGTTCATAGCTGTGAAGAGTTCCAGTCTCTCTACCTGTGTCCTGATTCTGTACTTTTATCCGATATTGAGCTCAAGGGGATGATCCGAGAAACCTCAGCTGCCATCAACATTGCTCCCTTCCGTCTGTTACTGCCTTTCTCACAGCCCAGGAAATTTACGCCTTTTGCCTTGCTCTAGGGAAGGTTCCACAGCTAGTCTATACCAGCCTTTCCTATTCAAGTCCTGGCCTCTGTGCTTCCTCTTCTAGGTTGGGTTTGATCTGCCAAGGGGAGTGCTTTGTTCTTTCACAGGCTGTGGCCAGGACCCTGAGGGCTGTGACTTCAGAATCGGAATGGGAAGGGAATCTTGAGTGAAAAGCTTTTCTGAAGAGAGATTTTGGCAGCAAAGTAGCACCACATTAGCTTTGGGAGTAAGTATTTCATTGGTATTATGAATATAATACATTACAAAATTCTTTGGCAGCAAAGTGGGCCTATGGAGGAAAGCCCATTCCTGCTGAAGAATCTGTCATCCTTAGCAAATCACACATGGGCATTTGAACTAAAACAACAAGACAGGAGTGGAGCGGTTCATTCTCTGAGAGTACTTAAAAAATCCCGGGGCATACTTGGTTTTTACATACAATAGGTGACAAGAAAGAATAAATAAAATCCCAAAAGCCAATTACAGCCACGAAGGTAGGGAGAATGAGGATCAGTGAGAAATGCAGAGAGTGGGGAATAAATTCACATTGGATATGGCTAAGCTACGGGGGTCTAAACACATCAGTGCGTTTGGAAGTAATGGTGCTTCTGGCGCTCATCTTTTATATTCTGGGGTCAATGGGACAAAGCATATTAACATCCCACTCTCGCGAAACCTCACGAGGACCCACCCAATCTGTGACGAGTGCAGACCAAGACAAGGCAAGCAAATGCTAGGAGAAGCAGCATGGAAGTGCAGAGGAATGAGGTCTTCTCCCTGAGTGACTCCTTCAGTGTTCCGTTCAGAGATGTCCTCAAGCAATAGGAACGGACAAAGAATAACCGAGTCCTAGTTTATTTGGAAATGTCAGGGATGCTTAGAAGATCTGGGGACACAGGGCTGCCACAGATCTGTGTTTTCAGGCAAACACCAGACAGTACTTGGCTTTCAGGGGCTCCACGGCAGAGATGGTTGTGTAATGTCGTGTTTGGTACTTTTCCTGGTAACTGTTCCAAGCTAAATTACTCTTGAAGTCAACAGTTCCTAGACCTCCAGTGGGGGAGGACAGTCACAGGTCTTAATAGGATGAACTGTATAGAATTTCTAATATTTAAGTCCTTTGAAATCATGAATTCAAGAATTGTTTTTAAAGTAAGTTTTTCTCTATGAAATAAAACCGAGACTGGCTTATGTGAAAATCAAATTCTGACAGAAGCTGAATTAAACAAGCAACGTCTGTACTTACCTTAAACGCCATGAACTTGTGATAAGGCTTAGGAGCCCAAGCATATATCTCCACTGCATTCTTTAAGGCAATCACCAAGAACTTGATCCTCTCATATTTAACTGAAATGGAAGCGTAAGAGTTTAGACAAGACATCAATCCATCCAAGAATTTTTGCATCAAATATGAAGACCTGAGTAAAGCCACGCCTGTCACATGCCTTCCACATGTCTTCACACTTGAGGGCGCTGTCCTCGGAACAGGTTGACATTTTTTTTTTCACACAAACTTAACTTCCTGTAGTGTACCTGGTTAACACAATGTTACAAGTTTTTTGGTTTATAGCAAAGGATGGGACAATTTAAGTTTAGATGTGGATATTCACTTTGATAAGGACCTAGCCGTCTTCTTATGTTAGATTGCACGTCTTGTATGTTTACGTTAATATAGTTATAGCAAGATGTGATAACAATTAACAAACTCATCAAAACATAAGCTTATCATATTATTTGCTTATTATTCACATTTGAATTCTAATGATTAAATGAAATAATTGTTTTATTACTAATGAAAGGTTAAATAATAGGAGCCCTGTGTTCTGTCAGTGGTTTATTTTTAAGGGCTTTATGTACTTTGACAAATCTTCTCATTATTTGTGAAAATAGAATGTTATAGATCTTCACTTTTTGTTTTATGACTTCATAATTACACAGTCTTTGTGTAATGAAACCTGATAACTAAAGTATTTGGGCTAATAAATGTCAAATCTACTTAAAGCAAATTCCACAGCTTTTTCAGAGCCATGCTTAGCAGCAGTTCTAAATTTTCCCACAGTTGCACTTGAATTGCCTGCTTTTTCCTGCAAACAAGCATGACTTTGCCGTAAAGAAACATACAGTCTTCAAGTGTGGATGGGAGGCTGCCTGCTGCCTGGTGGGAATGACATAGGCTGCATTTGGTACTTTGTCACACAATCAGGTTAGGTCAGAGAAAATTGCAGTTTCAGAATATGACAAGAAAAGACCAAATAATTCTGGTTCCCAAACCAAAACACCAGAGGAGCCTGAACGTCAACGGATTGCTATGGAATAAGTACTCCCCCATGTGGTCTGGTTTGGGAATAGGACGGAGCCCGTTCAACATCCCTTTCTTCCTGTGGCAAAACTGCTTAGCAGCTTTCTGCGTAGCTGTGCTGTACCAGCTGCTGGGAAGAACACCGACAGCGCGGGGCTGTGGGGCTGTATTTTACAGGCGCCGGATGTTGATGAACCTCATCTGTATTTCCCTTCCTCACATCTTTATCCTTTCTAAAGAAGTGCATATAAATAAGCCCTCTGTATTATAAAGATTATAAAACAAAGATCTTCACTTGGATCTTCTAGTCCCTAGTCACTGTTTCCTAGTGTCTCAGAATGTGGAGGAGAGGGACATGGAGACTGTCCTAGATCAGGGCCCTCTCTAGCTGTAAAAGGTAATATACTAGTGTCCCAGACCAGGATATTATGAATAGCTTGACTTATTTTTTGAGTTCCTTCCCAGCATCCCCCCCCCCCAGTCCTGTTTCCACTTTCAGTTGTCAGTCATTTGACACATGGCCGGACAACTCCAGAGGTTACAGTTTCAAACCTGTGCAGTGCTTTCCTGGGTCTGCATGCGGGCACATTTGGAGCAATGTCTAAGCCACACTCCATATCTTTGTTCTAATTTCTTCAGTTAAAAACAAACCTTAAACACCACGTATATTTCACAAACCTGCAGAAACTTCCTTCTCCATCTCCATTTCCAACTGATAAGTTTTATAGGCAAATATTCACAAAAGCCACATAGCCAGTCTCAGCTCCAAATGTGAACAGTGTCTACTGAATCCACAGCATGAAAAGAATCAGCTTCAAGACTGATCCTCTTCCTCACAGCTCCGACTCATGGCTCTTCCACAAACCCTGCTTCCCATCTCCCACCGAATGTGCTCATTTAAAGCTCTGATTAAAGCCATCCGAAGAGTTCGGATCATTTCCCATCACAGCTAAGTCATGTAGCACAACATGATGGCATCCTTCTTTTTTTGCCCTTTCTCATTTTTTAACTTCTTTGCTTTCTGTGTATCTATGCAGATGTGAACTTTCTGCCAGGAGGTGACTTTCAACATGGCCAAACAGCCATGACGAACTCAAAGCATTCCCTTTCCTCTTGGGGCCGCTCCTCTGGAACACTACACCATCTTGTTCTGCAAGCCTGTGGCAAAGCAGTCGCGGGTTTTTAGCCCTTGTTCTGGGCACTTTATCTTTTCCCTGAATCTCCAAGGTTTAATTTTTTATTTTAGTGGGACATATCCTCCCGCAGCTTTCACAAGATGGTGCCTGGCATGTATGTGCTGGAGTTAGGGAATGCCTACGAACATCTTCCTTCTGCTCTTAAAACCGAAACACAGTTTGATAGTATAATGTTTCATTTTACATGTTAATTTGACTGGGCTATAACATGTTCAAACATTTGGTCAAACATTATTCTAGGCATTTCTGTAAGGCTTTTTCTGATGAGAGTAATATTTGAATTAGCAGCCTGGGTAAAGCAGAATGCTCCAGCTAATAACTGAAGGTCTGAGTCGAACGCCAAGGCTGAGGTTTTCTTCTGTCCTCAGTAGAGATATGTGCCTTTCTGCCTCCAAACTCAGGTTGAACTGTCACTTCTTCTACAGGTTGGAGTTTGCTGAGTTTCTGCCTGGAAGTCCACCGTCAATTCTCCAGGTCCCCAGGCTTTTGAACTTGAATGAAATCACACAATTGACCCTCCTAGGTCTTGACATTCCCAACTGAAACAGGTTTGGGATTTCTTGGTTTCTAAAGTTCTGAGAGCTAATTCCCAATAATGAGCCCCTGCCTCTGTCTGCATTCCCATCTGCCTCTGTGAGGGGGAGGGGTGTCTAACTCTAGCATTTTGTGTGCTATAATGTGGGTTGAAACGATTGCTTGAGACTGTTTTGTGTATCGTAAGGACAAGGATAGCTGTGAGCTCCTCATCTTCCTGCTTCCCCTTCCGAAGTGCTGGGATCGCACCGCTACACCTAGTTCATCCACTGCTAGGAATGAACTCAGGGTTTGTGCATTGAAGGCAAGTACTACACCAAGTGACCCTCTAGATAAAGATAATTTTGCCTTTGGAAGTTTGAGGCCTTGCTGGTTCTGTTTTCTAAGGGTTCTAGTTTTGTTTCTGAAAAAGCTCCAAGATCCTCTGATTCTTTTTTACATTTGCTGTTTATTAATTTTCTTTTAATCCAGGAATTTTAAGGACTTTCTCATTTCTTGTATACTAAAATACTATATTGACACAGTTTATTGTGAGCTTTCTTTCTGAGTAACTAAACTGAATTCTCAGAATAATTTTGATCTGGGATGCCAAGGCCTGTCTCCAGGAGATGTTCTCTATCTACTCTTTCTCTCGTGTGTTCTTCCATCTCTACTTAACTATTTTCTCTCTTTTTACTGAAGCTCATATTTTGAACCTCGGGTTGATCTTATATTTTATTCTCTTTTTAAAATTATCGTTGTGGTGGTGTGTGTATGTGTATATGTGTGTGTGTGTGTGTGTGTGTGTGTGCACGCGCCCACATATGCGCCAGTGCGTGTGGAGGCCAGAATGGTGTCAGATCCCCTGAAGCTGGGATTACAGGTGGTTGTCCGCTTCCAAATGTAGGTGCTAAGAACCCAACTCCATCCTCTGGAAAAGCAGTAAGTGTTCAAACCTCCAGAGTCTTCTCTCTAGGCCCTCTAGGGAGAGGGTGAAGTCCTTAGTGAATAGTACTGTTCACATAGGCACAGCCATGTCCAAGACCTCAATGCCTTAGACTCATGGGAATTGCAAAGCCTTCCTCAGGTCAGGCTCGGGGAAACTGCAAAGCCTTCCCTGGTCCCTTTGTGCATTCTGATAGCAGCGTGTGCAGAGAAGGTGGATGGCTTCCTTTCCTAGGATGGCTATCACCCAGGAATGCTTCCCCACAGAGCCTACAGAGAAGTCTGCTTCCGTATTCCCCTGTACACATCAGCTCTGCCTCCTCCCTGGGCTCTATACAATAATCTGACTCCCTAGACTGAGATTTAGAAGAGACATAGAAGGGAAATCCTCTGGGTTTCATGGATGCTGGTGCTTCTCTGTCACCGTCACCATGCGGCAGATTGTATGAGTGTCTGCTGTCTTTACCCCCAGTCACCCAGTCAGGTTACCACTAAAGCTGTGCAGGTCACACCATTTGCTTTAGTTCTACTTCACAGGCAAATTCTTCATCTCATCTTTACATGTTTATATTATTTTTATTTCTGCTAAGGTTTTTTTCCTCTTTCATTAACCTCCACCTTTAAAACACTCCTATTCTTTATTTAGAAACACTTACCCCAAAATCTCTGTAAAATACAGTTTCTTCCTTCCTTTCCTCCTTTCTCATTTTACTGTTTGTTACTGCTTCCTGAATGTGAGATCCACCTGTCTAGTCTCTGGCTGAGGCGGGTTCATCAACTGTCAGCAGCCACGTTAGAGAAGGAAGGGACAAAAATTTTCTCCCAGGATTCTAAAGTTAGTATCTGTGCATTTAATTTTTTTCAAGACAAAATTTTCAAACTCTTTCTTGGAGTATAAACACACTGCCAGCATTTTGGAAGCTCAATGTGTAAGGCTCGTGCACATGTGTGTATGTGTGTGTGTGGTGTAGGTGCACATGTGTGCCCTCACAAGTATTTTTAGCATCACACTGACTTTGCAAACTCTTCCCTTTTGCTGCAGGGCTGAGGACAGTGGCCTGCCTGTGCGGGGAGGTGCCGGGCTCTTAAGACTCTCAACTTTTCAGCAACTGTATTTTTAACTCTTGTTATGCACCTCTATCCTGTGATCTTCCCTGGGTCTCTGATCTTTCTGGGCTCTGGGGCACAGATTGGTAATTTTCATAATCTTCTTACTGTAGATTGAGAATACCGCAACCCCAATGTGCTCGCTCTGACCCCAGTCACACAGCTACTTTGGGCCAGTTTTATGACCGTCTCTTATTTGCTGGTTTCTCTTCCTTTGATCCGATCAACCTTGGGGGCTTATTGCATTTTTAAATTTTTTATTGTCATTTCAGGGAAGTTTGGAAGAAGCACTTATAAATATTCAAACTGAAGCCTGGAGTTTTATTTTTCTAAAGGCATTCTCTGAGTTTCATTAATCTGACTTTTGGGGGAATAATGTAAGTCCCCTTTGGGTCCAGCTACATTTTAAACTGGTGGCACACACAGCATCAGCAGCAGATAGGAAACACTGAAAACATTGAACCCAACACTTGGGATGCTCATTCTGCCAAACTGAGACTTACCAACTTTGTAATGGATACAGCCTTCCAGGTCCCCGACTGTGATCCAGCCCTGCTTCTTTTCCACTTCCGGGTCATTGTGCAGTATTCTGTTTCTTAGCCACGAAAGATAGTAAACACGCAGCTTATTCTTCTTTCCTGTTGAGATAGCGGAGTTTGAAATTCAAGGACTGTGGTAGCCTTTCCCCTTCTTCCCTCACCTGCATTGTTGTCTACATTGTTGCTGCTGCTGTCTCTGTGGGGGCAGAATAGCCAGTGTCCTGCTCTTCCTCACTGTTACCTCTGTCCGGACTTGTAACAGCTTATCCTGTTGTTTGAGTCAAAACCCACCCATTGAGCTTCTTACCTTCAAACAATTTCTTATTTTAGAAAGCTTCTCTTACTCTCTCTTCCCAAGTCTGCTGAACATGGTAAGTTCTAAGTCTATAAACAGAGTTCCAGAACCTTCTAGACTTGATCTCACGAAGGCATGTTAACAAATGGGCATTTTAGTCTACTTATGTGTGTCTTATCTCCTCTAATTTTCTCTCCCCTCTTTCCACCTCCTCTGTCACATCAGACACCTGGTAAAAGTTTTATGTAACTGGTAAGACAAAGGAATTTAACAGAAGAAAGAGGAACAAATTCAGTAAAGCAATTTGGGTTCAAAGGATGATACTGGACAAAGTTATGGTGTTGAGGTCACCAAAAGAAATATTAAATAAAAACACAGAAGAAGAAAACAAAGATGTGGACTTGGAATTCAAGAGAAGGTTCAAAGTTCCCTTTGGTAAAGAGATTCAGCACATTCTCAGGATGATAAAACAACTCGATGGCATGGAAGATTTATGGGGAGCAGAATGAATCCATTCCACTGGGTTATTTGAGCACCAGAGAGAAGACACACATTTTTATGGCTCTTTATTAGTGAGAAATTTAGGCTTGTGTGTTTTATTTCTCCCTTATTTCCTGTTTCCTTAGAGAGGTTTTATGTCCTACAGATGGGATAGGCACTAGGAGAAGAGCGTCCATTAGAGCATCCCTCCCTGATGTTGACAGAGGACCTAAAGAGTTCAAGAATCCCCATTCTTATTTTTATTATCTTTTCTCCCTCTGTCTCTATGATAAGAAGTAATAGTTCTACACTGAAGGACAAAGACTTGTTATTACCAGAGAAATGGAGCCTGAATGTGAATTTTCTGGTAGCATTTCCACTTTGGATAGATGGCAGACAGATGCATGGTTTCAGTTTTGATTTGGGAGTGTAGTAATAACGAAAGCAATTAGCCAGAAACAAAGGCCACATAGAACTCAGCTCAAATCATAGTATAAGAACAATTTACTTGGTTAATCTTTATTTGCAATGGCAAGATTCTAAACACTCAGTACAGTTGTAAAGCAAAGAGGGGATTATGTGCCCAGAGACATAAGCCACAAGCACACCTGAAGAGTTAGCTTTCGTCTTTAAGGTTGAACCCAGAAGCCCTATGTGGTCTTCCTTGCATAATAAAGATGAAGACTAAAGCTCATATACTAGGTTGTGTGATGGGAAGTGTCAGAGCCATCAATACTGAATGCCTACACCTTATCCCAGAGATTCTGACCCTGGTCTATGGGGGGCAGATTGGGTTTTCACAGCTTCTAGGTGGTTCTAACACACAAGTAGTACTGTTGATTCCATAGCTGATGAAATAAAAAGAGAGGAGGGTGATTAGTTCAAGTCTTTCAACCACCATCAGGAAGAATGAAACACCTTATCAACAATCATAGACTCCAATTGTACTTTTCACTTGTTAGTAATGAGGCTTACTTGTCTAACAGGGTCTTTCCACTTAAGAAAGCTATTGATGTCGTAAAAATGTACCAATGAGCATGTGCCCACTATCTTCTCTCTAGAATTGGCTACCCAGTAGTATAACCATCCTCAAATTATCAGTGGATTATATGAAGACATTTTGAGAAAAGAGAGGCTTCTACTTAGTAATTCCCCTCCCAGAACCCTTCATTTGGCAATTGGTATGACAGGAACTGCAGGGCAGACAGCTCAATAAGAGTCTTGCTGAGTTGTAAGGGCAGCAAAAGCCAAGACACACAGTTTCTGTGGTCGGGTCTGCCTCCCTCGGGTTTAACATACAGGTAAGCTTCTGGTGGGGCCAGCCCCTCCAGCATTACAAAATGCATGTGTGATCTCCCCAGCTACAGCCTGGCACATCTCATGTGGTTTGCTGGCCAGGGCTTCTTCAGAGACCATGATGCACCCCTGGGGGTCAGGTCAGCTTAGCAACATACCTGATATCGTCACCAGGACATTTAGCCCTTCTAGCACATCCATCTGCTGGAAGCGCCTCCGGTTGATCAGATTGTAGACTTTGCCTTGGCCACTTCTGTCCAAGAGCATCAGGCCATTTTCAGTTCCCACCAGAAGGTTTACACCTGTGAATTTAAGATGCCCACAGGACTGAGTCTTTAAGGGCCTTAACCAGTTTTACCTGGATCCCTATGAAGTCGAGAAAACTGCTTCATGCCTACGTAAACAAATGAGCAAGTAGGTGCTGTGGTAGACAGTGTAGAGGCAGAAGCTCCAGCTCTCCAATTCCATCATTGTTCCTCTAGTGACAGAATTACAATTTTACTTTTGAAAGCGGAAGCAGCAATACACCACAGGTATCCATTGAGTGCTTAGCTCAGAGAATACTTGCCAAGGGGCCTTAGGCAGAACTGTGTAAGGAAGATTCACTGTGCCCTGACTCTCTATCATCTCTTGGTGCATATCTAAGTTCTGAAAACGTTCCTATCTACTATGTTAAACGCAGTTATTTTGTTCTCCAGATCTCATCTTCCTACTGCAGAGTCATCATGCCTCTCATGGAACAATTCCTAGGCTTCCATATTTATCCCTGCTCACATGGCAGATACCTCTAGCCTTAGGAAATTATGATGTCCAGTCAAAGCCTAGCAATGCAGATGGGGTCAGCCGGACCACATCCTGATCTTCCTATGATGCTTTAAGTAATATAGTAATATAGGCCAAGACTTTGATAAATGTCCCCACACCTATGCTAAGTTTGAACCCAGCTCACATCTTCCGATCTACTCAATGAGAGCTTCATACTGATGTTTCCACTCTGCAGTGTTCCCATCACTGCTGCTCTTTTCGGGTTTTACCCAATTACTGTTGACTCAGTGCCTTGGGCAAGTCCCTAAAATACGCTGGGCTTGCTTTTCAGCTGTGAAAAGGATGTGGTGCCCTTACAGACCTAGCAGGATACGATATGGGATCACAGAGGTAGGATGGGATGCGGGGCGGCATGCACAGCGCTAGACACACAGTGGTTGAGTATTCAGTGGTGGCTGGTTCTGTGGCTGATATTTGCTCACCACTCTACATGCTATCTGGAGTACAAGTTACACACATACAAGCACACACACACACGCACACACACTTTTGCTCACTCCTGAGGCAGCCCCACATCAGCCCTAACACCTATGATTCTCCTAGTGCTTTCTGAAGACAAAAGCCATAGTTTTTTTTTTAATACTTTAAGGTAACTTGATTAATGAGTGTGGAAACAAACAAACAAACAAACCACCAACGTACCCCACAGAGCTGCACAAAGTATTTCGGAATTGAAGCGTTTCTTGTATTTTCTGATTTCAGGCGTGTCACTGTGAGGGCGAATGTTCGTTGGGTTCACATTTACCACGGAAATCTTCCTCGCTTCATTGAGTTTAGCTTGTTCTTGCCTAAGAAGTTCACTAGTAAAGAGGGCTTTGAGAGAAAGAATCAGAGAAGTCAATAGCATCTTCACAGACAGCCGATGCAAGTATGAAGGGAGGGCTTGGCTGGGGGCCTATTATAGTAAAGGCACAAAAACCAGGAACCTATTTTATACTTGTTATAGTAGGATAAAATAAAGCATGTTATTCACAGAAGCAGTATTTTATTCATTAGCAAAACAGGCTTGCTTATAGACACTCCTTTAGATGGTGTAGAAAATTAATATTAATCTCATAGAGCCAAATATGCCATTCCTGTAATTACAAACAAGGAACAGTTCCTGCTTGAGATTCTATAGAAGCTGACTTCAATGATTAGTTACTTGCAGAAGGCAAAGAAGCAAGGCCATCCTCTCTGTTAGCCAGATTTGCAATGGAAGTGCCCGCCTGGAACTCAGCACAGCTCAACACACATGTATGGAGTGTTCAGTACCACACTGCTTCGAGCATAGCATTATACCCAGAAACTGTTTTTGAGAAAAATGCGGTGTGTTTGGAGATCGCTGCGGGGTGGCTTTTCCTAGCATCCCGGGATACCTCTGGGTTTCTTCCAGAAACAGAAAAAAAAAAAAAGTCAGGTTCTGGGGAGAAAGTAATTTGCTTTAGGAGTTCCACCAAGTAATACATTTTAAAGTATCTTTGTCCAGAGACTGGGCATCAGGAATAAGTGGTGTAAGCTGAGTTGGTGGGTCTCGTCCCTGGGTTGTACAGGAAGGAAACCTATCTGTAAAACTCTAGGGCCAGCTCGCTTACCAGTAGCGGAGGACTCATCATCTTCCTCATCTTCATCCGTGGGCGATGTCTGGTACACTCTGGGGTCCACGAAGGGGGTGAAGGAGGCTTTGGTGCTGCTTCCCATGCCATACTGATCAAAAAGCAAGAAGGAGAAGTCAGTGCAGCAGGAACAGTGGGAGCTGGCATTGCTTTGTTCAGCCTAGACACTGACTACAGACTCCTCTGCTGTCTGGTCCCTCTCTAGGCAAAGTGTGGGCCTCTGTCCAGTTTCTCCCAGTTCTGGTTACTCTCCAGACACTGTGTGTGTGTGTGTGTGTGTGTGTGTGTGTGTGTGTGTGTGTGCGTGCGCATGTGTGCGTGCGTGTGCGAGCACAGGGCTTCATCTGTGATCAGACCATAAGTGTTGCAGAAAGAAAATTACAGTTGGATAGCAGGTGGCACCTTAATATCTGTGCTCCTGTCATTGATCATTACTGACAATTTATCTCCACTTGTAAGTCAAAACTCATCATGTATTGACCAAATGGGCTTAAGAAAAAAAGCAAAATCTAAGAGACGTTGCTACAGCAACGCTCATCCTGGAACATGTTGCCACATCAACACTCCTTCCCAGGACAGTCAGCCTGGATACAGCAACAGTCAGCCTATGAGATTCCCCCTTAGAAGGAGGCCTTTGGACCCTTCCATTCTTGCTGACTTGAATCAGCTCTAACAGCTTTAAATTCTTTAATCAGAGATAATTTATTCGGGGATTGATGTTTTATGTCCTTGGTAGCTTAAGAAAATTCTTAGGCCACATGGTTTACGTGGGGGACTTCATGCAGCCACTGGGTTTGTATGTAATATGAGAGCTTACTTTAACTAAGTCTTAAAGGCTTAGGCTAAAGGCATGAAGTCAGAACTAGATTAGGGAATAATATATTCAATATTAGCATTTGGTGTCATGATGCAATTGAATTTGTCAAAAGAGTATAACTATTTGCCTATTTTGTTTGCTCTCATCTTTCCTTCTACAGTACCATTTTGTGTGTGTGTGTGTGTGTGTGTGTGTGTGTGTGTGTGTGGTTTATGTGTGTATGATGTTCACATGTGTACATGTGGGGGGAGTCAGAGGTCCCTGTCAGGTGACCTTGATTGCTTATCTAGCTCATTTTGCTGAGATAGTCTTTGACTGAACTCAGAGCTCATCCATGTGGCTTGATTGTCTGGCCAACTGAGCCGGTTTCTGCCTTCCCCCACCTGTGTGCTGGGTACAGCCACCACCACCACCACCTTTACATACATTCTGGGGATCAGAATCAGGTCTTCATGCTTGTGAGTCAGGCCCATTACCAACAGAGCCATCTCCCAAGCTCCCCATGCATTTCTTTATGTCACAAACATACCCGTATTCAACATCCTAAAAACCCTTGTGGGTATTTGTATTTTAGGCATACATTTTTAGTTTTGTCATCAGATTTTTATTTAAAAATAAATGAACATTCCTAAGCCATAATTATCTAAGGACCAACTTGCAAATATCCAATTTGATTTCCTAACTCACAAAAATCCAATCTGATTCCCTTCAAGGTTTTCCCTCTGTCCCTTAGAATCAAATTTCTTTCATCCTCCCCCCACAACACAGCCCTTCCCAGAGGCAGTGTTTTGAATATGTTTTCTTTTTCATCTTTAGGAGTCCAGAAAGGAGATGGTGAAACAGGTAAGAACATTTCCTCTTGGAGCTGGGAGAGCAGCAACATTTGGACCAAAGTCCTATTCTGCAGGAGCCTGTTCTATGGGGCCCTCCTTGGTACCAATAGGACTTGAGGTGAAAATGGCTGCCTGCACTGCCTGAAGTTGCAACAGGATGCTGTGCTTTTGAAGATACTCATGAGCTTTTGCCCTTGGGGCATGCTAAGAATATGCTTATCATAGAAATTCAATGTGTGGGTAATGTCAAAATCAACAGCAAACACACTCTAGAAGAACACTGAGGGGCTTCTGTGTGAGTCACAGGACTGCCAGGAAACACACGGCCCAGCCTTGAACTCATCCAGCGCTAAGAACCATCTGTGCTCACTCACGCTCTCCTAGGACTGCTTCCACGTAGGAACGATGTCTGATTTCATCTTCCTGCTGCAACTTGGAGAAAGAACCAATCTCTTGAACATTTATTTAACAGTAGGGGCCTATATTCCATAAACCATTTCAACTATACTTTATTCAAGTCAAGCTTAGGTTGACTAAATTAATGGAAATATGAGCCCAAACTATTGGCTTTGAAATCTCACTAGTCTATAGATTCTCCTGCTGGCTTGTGATGCAGGAGGCCCAAGTTCTGGCAGAAGCACTGTTGTAACTATCTGTGTGTCCTGGACAAGTCATTTAATGTCTCTAGGTTTCAACACATAACACAGAATCAGTCCAGAAGATACGTAAGGACTTTCTGTAGCTGTATTTATGTGGTTTCTCGGAGTATTAGCATAAGCAGTTATAGCAGAAACCAAATGAACACATTCCAGAGACTGACAAGGTGGTGGCAGTCTTAACTACATCAATGTGCAGAACCTCATGGAGGAGAACAGAATTTTCATGGCTACTGCCTGGCACCTACTTCAGTTCCAGAGTCCATCTCCTGGGAATGGGTGGAGACACGACCCAGTCCCTCGGTGGGAGTCCCGGCTGGGGAGTGGCTCTGCTGCACTAGGTCAGGGAGGTTGATGTGACCTGCGAAGCCATTACTGTCACTGTGCCCAGATCTCTTCTTCTCTTCAGCCGTCTGAGGGGTGCAACACACAGAAGCCATTAGACAGAGGGAACAAACCAAAGGATGACATCACTCCGCAAATCATAGATGCAACAGGCTCCAAACTGATCTACTGGGAAAATAAGATGGTACAAAGATCAACACCTCCCCACAGATGCAATGGACTCCACATTGCTTTACTGGGGAGTATAGGACGGCAACATTGAAATTTCTACTTTGTCTAAGAAAATAAAGACATTAAACATTGTTAATATTTAGTAACTGGACCAATTTTCAGGACTTATGTTACTGTAGGAGGGATGACACAAGAAAGAGGGCAAAGTCAGGGTCAGACCTGCCAAGTTTCTCTTCTGTTAGCATGTGAGCATGTGTCTGAGTAGCACCAGATAACTGAGTTTACAGACCATAGTGCCAGATTATATAGAAATAATTGTCAAATTCGGCTGACAAAAAGCATTGGAGCAAAATGATACCAATATCCTCTCCCAATAAAAGAGCCTGTATTTCAAGAAAATGCAGAGATGCTATTTACTCAACTCACAGAGTTCTTTGCCATTCATAAAGTCAAAGCAATGATTAATCAGGTCTGACCGGAGTCCCAAATCACTGAAATGACCTAGCAGATCATTTGAAAACAGAGAGTTCTGTTCTCCTCTTTGTTAGTGTCTACTCTTTCAGCAAACAACTGTTGTACCTTGTGATGTAGGCAAGAGAGAGAAAGAGAGAGAGAGAGAGAGAGAGAGAGAGAGAGAGAGAGAGAGAGAGAGAGAGAGAGAGAGAGAGTCACCACGGCAGGACAGGGACTTGAAGCACTGTTTACAGCATTCCTTTTAAGCATCCTTTCAAGATAAATCATAATGTGGAGCTGGAAAGAGGGCTCAGGGGTTAAGAGTGCACCCTGCTCTTGCAAATGACCCACGTTCAGTTCCCAGCACCACTCTGGGTGACTCACAATTGTTTGTAACTCTAGCTGGAGGGAATCCAACGTCATCTGGACTCTGTGGGCACCTACACTCATGGGCACATACCCACACACGTACACAGGGTTAAAAACAAAAAGAATCTTTTAAAGGTGTTTTATAATGCATATATGGATGTGGTGGGACAGAACTCTGTACAGGTTTATGAAAATGCTCTAAAATTGTTATTGATAGGAGCTCGTGATTTAAATGTTTTCAAACCACTCCTCCAGAGATCAGTCTCCTCCCTAAACCCAGGGAACACAGAGGATTAAAAGAAAACCCCTAAAGCCAGTGCATCCAATTGGCTAGCTTTGGAACCCCCTTTCTCCTACCTAAGTGTAACTTAGCACTCACGGATCAACCATTCTTCATGTCCCTAACTCTCTGCTCCCCCAGTCTCTGGTGGACCTTTTTGTTCTCAGCTTGTATGAGATCATTGCTTTGGTTTTCAGATATGAGAGTGATCATGTTATACTACTCCATTTATATAATGATCCCCAATACCATCATCTATCATGTCATAAATAACAGCATTTCTTTCTTCTTTATGGCTAAACAGCTTCATGTTTTGTGTACAGACCACAGCTTCCTTGTCAGTTTCCAAGGTGATGGATGCTTAGGTGGTTTCCACTTTCTGGAAGGTGTGTGTTAAGATAGGAATGCAGATGGCTCTTGACATGTTGATGTCATTTCCTTGGGAATGTCCCCCAGTGGTGGGACTGCTGGGTCACATGGCAGCTCTATTTTAGTTGACATCACACCAAGAACACAGGGACACAGGGTCCCTTTCTCCACTTCCTTGCTGGACCACGCTACTCTCAGTTTTTTGGATAGCCGCCATTCTAATTTAGTCTTTGATTTTTATTTTGGTTTTGATTTCAATCCTCTTGATGACCCATGATTTTGAATATCTTTTTGTGTGTCTGGTGGCCATTCACGCATGTTTGTTCTTTCAACTTGACCATTTACAAATTATTTTTCTATTGAGGTTTCTGAGTTCCTGATATGTTCTAGATATAAACACAGCACGGAATATCTCCTGTTTGGCAGGTTGCCCCTATTACTAACTATGCCCTTTATTATATATAGTTCTTGACTTCATATTTTGTATCTAACTAGTTCACTAAGAATCCCAGGGCAAACTCCAGCAATGATTTTCTTACCCCTCCTCTCACACACCCCTGTCTCTCTGCCTTCCCCACCTCTTAGCTCAGCACTGCTGAATGCCTACAAAATATGAAATGGTTTGCTTAACACGGAACAGCTGGGAACATGACAACCTCTGGGGTTGGTATTGGCAAGAATGCATGCCACTTCTTTGGCCACTTCATTGGTTCAGTGTTTTGTATCATCATCAACCCGACTAGATTTGGGGTCACCCAGGAGACTCATCTCTGGGAGGGTCTGGGAGGGTGTTTCCAGAGAACTTTGACTGAGGAGGGAAAGCCTACCCTTAGCGTGTCCTGAAGGACCAGACTCAGTAAGCCTGATGAACACCCCTACTCTGTTTCCTGACAGTGGGCGTCATGTACCAAGCCACCTGCTGCTATGCCTTCCCTGCTGGGGTACACTGTATTCCCTCATACCCTGAGCCAAACAAACCTTTTTTCCTTAAGCAACTTTGCTCAGACACTTGGTCAGAGTGGAAAATAAAAAGCAACCACGCTTGACTTTTCCAGACTTTGCACAGTGCGCAGTGTACGGTTTCTAGCCTGTACTTGCTTCTGTCAGCAAACACTAGTAGCCACTTCTTTGGTGTGTCTGAGATAGAACAGACTCCCAAGATTGCAAAAGAGTGTGATTCGTCTATAAGGAAAGAAGCTTGAGAAATGACCAGAAAGCTTGGTGTCATCTCTTTCCTGAACTACAAACTGCCTCAGCGAGGGTCCTTTTCTCATTTCATTTTGTCACAGTGTTCATTGGGAGCCGCAAGGGTGCATATTGTCAGAGATGAACATTTCATCTTCTAAGCGACATTTTGGGAGTTCACCTCTCATCCATCTTAGTGTCCTTGCTTTTTATGCTGGCTTAACAGCTTTTCCCTCCTTCCAACTTCCATTCAGTACTGAAAAGCCTTTTGACATTTCCCCCCAACTTCCCCAAAGCATAAATCACACTTTGTCACTTGATAATTTCTCAGTTTCTCTTCTATCAGTGGCATTTTCTCCCAGGTCTTGAAACTGATGAAGCAACACCGGTTATTAAAGAAAGACTTGAAGGGCTAGCTAGGGACGTCTCTCAGAGATTGAAAAGCCTGGAGCAATGACCCTTGAATCTACCCACTTGTGAGTCATCATTCCTTGGTTCAGCCAACCAGCATCCTCTCATGAAACGCCTTCTGTGTGCTGTGCTCCCCTGGGAACACAAAGGAACTGAACCTTATTAAGAGAATCTCAACCTCTTTGGTTTTGATAGCCTCACCATTCCCAGAAGGACAAGCATAAATATGCTCTGTATTCCAGCAAAAGCCAGGTACTGTGCTAAACACTCTGCACTGTGTGCCATTGAGTCCTCATAGGAGCACTGTGGGCAAGTTTTCATTAGCCCCACCTTATGGATGGAAAAAGTACAGGGCAAGAGCGCCAATGAACTTTCCTCATGGCTTTCAGCCTAGGCTGTGTGGTGGTGGAGTCCAGCAGGTCTGGTTTGCACTACTGCACCATGAGAGCTCTACTCTGATAGGTTATGGAACCAGGGGTGGAAACCTGGGACAAGAAGGACCAAGTTCCCGATACCAGTGTTGGGCAGCAGACAACCTGGGCTATGGTGAGGATCTTGTAATGGACTGAGAAGAGAAGGGAACACAAGAATATGGAGGGGAAGAAAGCAGCTCTGAGGAGAGAGAACGGGGAAGAGGGGAGACAAGCAAAGGTGGGAGCAGGAGATGCCCACAGCAGAGCGTTCACGGTATCCGCCTAAGCCCTTGTGTCTAAGCTTCAGGCTCCACCCCTACCCAGGTAGCTCACTAGCTGTGTCTTCCATGGAATATGCATATAAATAGCTTTGGAATGTCTTCTTTCTTTGTGTGCTACCTTCAGTGCCTCTGGCTGTCCTCCTGAACTCTGTAAAAGTGTGTTCTTTCTTTTTTATTTATCAGAAAAAGAAGCTGTGTGGCACTAGCTAGTGCTCTCATTCAGCTGGATAGGTGGACCCATAATGGAGAGGGCAAAGATAGCTTCAGGAAAGTGCTACAGAGAGAGGTCCACTGGGTTCCAGGAAAGGCTTCCAGAAGGGAAAGTCGAGTCAGAATAGAATGGGAAGAGGAAAAGCAGGATAGCACTTCCACGAGATAGGCCCCCGTAGACAAGATGGCTGGCAAGAGCTGATGCGGCTCACTCTAGCAGAGTAGAAAATGGTGCTATGAAGTGTAAGGTGAGACAGGGGAAAGACAGTAGCAAGGGTGTGCACCACAGGGGCACTTTATACATGACAGAATCACAGGAAGCTGGCCAATAGAGTCTTCTAGAACTTTTTCTTCTACTCACACAAGAATGAACTGAGTGAGTCACCCTGTGGAAGTGAACTTACAGTACCCTATAAGCTAAATTGTGGCATAATAACATAAAATTTAAACTTGGAAAGTTTGTTTTACTTTAACCTGAATTTATTTAATATTTTAAATATATGCATTTTTAGTGGTTTTTTTAATCCTAAGGCTTATTTGATGGTTAATTTTATGCATCAACTTAACTGAGCCACAAGGTACCCAGATTAAACATTATTTCTGGGTATGTCTGTCACATTGTTATGCATCAACTTAACTGAGCCACAAGGTACCCAGATTAAACATTATTTCTGGGTATGTCTGTCACATTGTTTCTAAGAATCAAGGAGACGAAGCTTTGAATTGGTAGAGTTGATAGGTAGATTATTATTTCCAAATTATGTCAATAGGAACCATGAGAAACCATAATAGAACAAAAGGCAGAAGAAGAAAAAATTGTTAAAAATAAATGCTGTGTGTGACATGTGTGTGTATTTGTAAATGTGGGCCCATGTGCATGGTGTGACTACAGAGGTCAAAGCACACCTTGGGAGCTGGTCCTCACCTTCCAGCCTAATTAGGCAGTCTCTTGCTGGTGAGTGCTGTGTCGTTCATGGTAGCTGAACAGAAGCCTCTGGGGTTCTCCTGGCTCTGCCTTGTATTTCACCATAAAAGCACTGCGATTACCCATGCACACTGTCAATTCTGCTTTGCCATGGGGTCTGGGGTTTCAGACTCAGGTCCTCATGCTTGTGTGGTAAATGTTTTGGATTTACCGAGTTGTTTCCACAGCTCATGATGTGCCTACTCCCGGTCTCTGCTCAGTGCGTGAGTTGGGACATCTTATCTCATCTTTACCCACTTCGCACTGGGAGTTACACTGCCTCATGTATAGGAGCCATTAGATTTTGTTCTCCATAACCACACAAACCACCTCCACATGGGCTCGCTCCCTCTCTCCCTCTCTCTCTCATCTTGGTTAATATGGTTTGTTTTTTTTTAAGACCCCACACTTTGGGGCTGAGAGGCTGAGGAGATGGCTTAGATGATAAGGTGCTAGTCTTGCAAGCCCGAAGACTGGAGTTTAATCCCCAAGACTAATGTAATTCCAGAGTTTGGAAAAAAGAGATAGGTGGCCTCTGGGCTTGCTGGCCAGACAGCTTAGCTTTTTTGGTGAGCCCCAGGCCAGTGAGAGACCTTGTTTCAATAAAGAAAGATGTGGTGGCACTTGGGGAAAACCTCCCAAGGTAGTCCCTTGGTCTCAACATGTATGCACACACATGTGCACATACAATAACAAACACTAAAATCCACACTTGGTCAAAGTAGAATTTGGAAACCGAGAGGACTCATGGTCTGAGGGCGCCTCAGCAGAACAGCTTCACACAAGCTGCAGGTGCACACGATTTTGAAGGTGCTGGTGGCTGTGGTCATCAAATGTTGGGTGCTTTGAATGACATGGAATTGTTGGGTTGGTCAGCAGCAGACGTGAATACGCGGCTCTAAATGTCTCCCTGGAGACACCGACTGTTGTAAAGATTCAATCGTGTTAGGGACTGGGCTGTTTCTGTTTGGAGCTAAAGAGTGACTCATTCTAGAACACTCTCTTGTGTTGTAAAACTCTGATAGGAACCCTCTGTCTCTGTACTAAAATAACCCTTCACGATGCTGGGAGCTTTATATACCAGCAGCATACAATGCCAGCGCTGCCAGCCAAACCCATTCTTCATCACGGGCATACGTGAAAGCATTCTTTAAAGTCTACTTGAAAGATTCGACACAGCATAAAATAAAACTGTAGCAAGTTGCTGTGCGATTTAGCCGTCTAGTTACAGCTGCACTGCCAATTTTACTTCAAAGGCCTTATTCATCTCGAAACTACACTTTCTTTCTTCCTCACCAAAGCGGGAGGCCGTTGGCCTATGTGGAGAGCAAAGTCTCTGAGTGGAGTTTCCTAGCCCTCTCCTATCTGCAGAGAGAGGGAATGACCATGTTGTCTGTTTGTGCTTTAGAGGAAAGAGCAAGTGATAAGAAGCGAGAGGAGACTGGAGTTGTTGATGAAAGTGAAGTAAAATAGTTAACATTTACCAAATACCTAAATTTACTAAGTAGTCCATTTCATGTTGTCAATCATCCTATAAAACATATGGTTTTATTTATGAAGGTGTGTGTGTGTGTGTGTGTGTGTGTGTGTGTGTGTGTGTGTGAAACTGATGCAGAGTACCTTTCTTGATTTCTCTCCTCTTTGGTAGTTGTGGCAGAGTCTCTCTCCCGGCCCAGGCCCTGCCAATTCTGGCTACTCTAAATAATCCACCTGCCCAGGGGTTCCCTCTCTGACTCCTGAGTGCTGACATTTCAAGTGGCTGTCACACCTACATGACTTTGTATTCTGGGCATCCAAATGTTTGTCTTCACACTTGTGTAGCAATCACTTTATCCACCAGGCCATCTCCATAACCTGTTCATTAAGTTCTCCAGAGGATAAAGCAGATGCAGGGAAACATGTGGTGATAGTTCCCATTCTTTCTTCTCAAAATTGCATGCAATGAAAAGAGAAGATGGTTCTGATTGCTTGGGGCACTTCAGGGAACACAGTGGAAGGACACGTGAAAGGGAACGTGCTTCCCATCGAATGAAATCATGTTCCCAGACTCAATAAACCAACCCCTTTTGACGGGCTGGAGAGCCGGCTCAGCATTAAGAGCACTGGCTGCTCTTCCAGAGAATGGGGATTTCCAGTCCCGGCATCCACATAGTAACTCACAACTGCCTGCAAGCGCAGGCAAAGGGGATCGAGTGCCCTCTTCTGGCCTCTGTAGACATTAGACATGCATGCACCTGCTACACAAACATACATGCAGGCACAACATCCATGCATTCAAAGCTAAAAACAAACGGCGAAGGCACACCTCTTAGCTGGTTTCTGTGTTCTCCAGTCCCAGCTGCTGTTTTTTTTCAAATGTTAATTTAATGAGCTACAAAGATAGCACAGTCTCTAGGAACTACTTAGCATTTTATATGAAACTTAAGAGAGAATCCACAGGGGAGAGGCTAACACAACCACCGTCTCTACCAAGAGACGACTTTCATTTCTGTTCCTGGCACTGGGAACATCTGTTCTTTGAAGTTTGGTGTCCTCAGGCTCAGATTTTATACTCTGATTTGCATAGCTGCTGTTGAAGAATTGGGCTTAATGTAATTAAATCACTCTGCAGAAACTTGGAAGGTCACAGAAAAGAAGATGGCAGACAGTAAAACCACTCGGCCACTTAGAAGCACAGGTTCCTAGCCTTTCCTAGCCAGCACACTTACAATATGTGCTATAAGGATTCTATGTAAAAGCTTGAATAGAAAAAACGCGCAGGGGCTATGCTTCCTTTTGATGGCTGTTACACCAGCTCACCTCTCTGATCATCAAGGTTCCTTCTCTGGAAATACTAGTGCCAAAGGTGTCCGCGTGTGAGGTCTCCAGTCCATGTGTCCCGACCATTCCCACGTTGTACTGCTCGTTGCTCCCCGGAGCTCCTGTTGGTCTGAGATGAGAAGAAACGGTAGTCACGGCAAAATGAAAACTCATTTTACAATGAAGTGACATAAAATGTAAATGCTATTTCCTGTCCAGATGCACATCTAATTGGAGCAAATGCACATGATATAACATTACCATTGATATTATTTGTGTGGTCATTGCAGTGACTTTAAGGACATTCTGTATTAACACACCTAGATTGGGGTTTCCATTTCTGTAAGATCTTGACCTATATTGTATCCTATTCTCAACTCAGACTGTGAGTGCTTCCTGCCTCCAAGGAAAAAAACTGATGCAATCAGCACCCAGGCTTATGAGGCTCTATTGACTCCCCAGCCCCATGACCTTCTGTGATAAATGGCATCCTGACTACCTTTGCACTTGTTAGTTCCTCTGTTGGTTCTTGGTTGGTTCCTTCTCTTTCCACTATTTTTGTTCTGAGAGACAGATACTTTATCTAGGTTTCTTCCTTCTTTCCTTCTTTCTTTCCTTCCTTCCTTCCTTCCTTCCTTCCTTCCTTCCTTCCTTCCTTCCTCCCTCCCTCCCTCCCTCCCTCCCTCCCTCCCTTCCTTCCTTCCTTCCTTCCTTTTTTTGGGACAGGGTTTCTCTGTGTAGCTTTGGATACTGTCCTGGAACTCGCTCTGTAGACCAGGCTGGCCTCGAACTCACAGAGATCCGCCTGCCTCTGTCTCCCAAGTGCTGGGATTAAAGGCGTGCGCCACCCTGCCCAGTCAGATACACGATCTAGAACACCATCTCAAGACCCACATCCAATCCCACTTTAGCCTTCACTATTCTTATTGCCATTTGCAATTCCTTTCTTTAATACACACACACACACACACACACACACACACACACATCATGTGGTGGGAGCTGGAGTCGGGTTTCATCCTAAAGAAAGTTATGTCCTTCCTTTGAGATGTGACCTCTTTTGGAACTCATCAATTAGGATGGGCTGGCTGGTCAGTGAGCCTCAGGGATCCTCCTGTCTCTTGCTGTCCAAAGTGGGATTTAAAGCACATGCCACCATGCCTGGCATTCTTACATGGGTTCTGGGAATTAAACCCAGGTCCTCATGCTTACAGGCAAGCACCTTGGAACCATACCCTTGGTCCCTGAGATTTTTCAGGTCTGTAGCCTGCAATCTTCATTTCCTCCTTCTCCTTCATTAGAACACATGCTTATCTTATCGTTTTACACACCCAGGTCAGTACCCCCTTGATTTATCCGTGTTCTGTGATCAAAGTGTGTGGTATCTTTGAGCAAAAGGTTCTTAGCCTCAAGTTCTGGCAGGAACCAAAAGCAGTGGCAAGGTTTGAGAGCGTGGAGGGGTCTCTGATCAACAACTTGAAGGGAGGTTCCCACACCTGAGCTTTTTATTTGATAACCTGTGGCTTCTAGGAAGAGCATTAAAATTTATATTATAGATAAAATATACTCACATATATAAATTCATATCACACATAGCATATATGTATATGAAGTTTATGAAATAGTATGTATCCATGTTTTTTTCAATCTAGACAGTATATACCTAGTATGTAGCATGTAATACAAAGATGAATCATTAACAAATGGGGATTTGTGCTACTTCCAATGGCAGTTAACTGGGTCAGCTATGAACTAGTCTGCTAAACTCAAACAGTACTCAGTGCTTTCCTAAATCTCTATATTCAGGCTATACTGGTGTACATTTATTCCCAGGTTTGCCTTGCTATTGTGTTATGTACTCCCCCAGAGATCAACAGTAATCTAAGGATGTGATGACCTATTCACACAAGACCAACCAGTATGCTAGCAGACACATGGGAGCACTTTCAAGGATTAGGTGACAGAGCACACGGGTAGTATGGGGTGCGGTGACAAGGTGCCGCCACCACCCCTAAGGCACAAACAATGGCATTTTCCATGTGTCCTCTGCAAGTGACAGAGCAAGTGGCATTGCTCAACAAGGGAAACACCATCACATCTGAGCTTCACTCAGAGGATCAGAAATATAAATATTCTTTATCCCTTGCACCCAAGTTGTTTGGCGGACAAACTTGGAAAGTGGAGAACCAAGCAGATGCTGTGGCCGTGGGTTCAAGACTTAGGGGTTTCATTGTTATAGATTTCTTTCTGCTGTTTTAACAATTGATTAATTTAAAATGTGTTTTTAAAGTGCGAAATGGTATCAAGAAATTATTTATCACTTGAAGAACATTTATCATCTTAGTCTTTTAATTCTTTTTATCTGTTTAAAAGTTGCTGATGAGTGGTGGCACATGTCTTTAATCCCAGCATTCAAGAGAAAGAGGCTGATGATGTCCATGAGTTCAAGACCCAGACTGATCTACACAGTGATACCCAGTCTTATAAAATAAAACAACAACAACAACAACAACAAAAGGCACCACCAGTTGACATTCCAGTATCCATAGGGAAAAATCTCACAAGGCACAACCCCTATAGGCATTTAACAGCTGCTAAAAGGGAGAATTAGTCTTTCCCGGGGATGGATCGCCTAATTGGTTATCTAATACCAAGTGTTAGCCTTAAAAGGATCATAAAAGTAACACTACACAGAATCAGCAGGTTGGGTTCACTCATTAATTCACATATATATTTAACAAAAAAAGAAACTATGGCTTTAAGAGGGAATAGTGAGGGGGTGTGAGAAGGACAGAAGAGAGGGGGAAATGATGCAATTAAGTTTTAATTAAAAATAAGATAAATTATACACAAACAAAAACTAACCAGACCTGTCCGTAGTTTCATAAATATGATGATAATTTGAAGATGTAATTGAACCAAGAACCAAGACATAACACTAGGTTTACACTAGCAGGCACACTGCCCGAACTCTTGCCAAGGATTAGGGTGGCTCAGTGTCAGAGTGCTTGAAGTCAGGAGTTCAATCCCCAGCAGTGGAAAAAGGACTCTCATCCAAAATGGAGAGAATCAAAATGATGAAAGTAAAACCGGATCTAAAATGGACAGTGTGGCCTATATTTTAAAGTTTTTCACTTGGAGCAAAGGACTGAATGGACTCAAGTATGGGTGAGAATTGATGTGTTTGGGATAAAATTCAAAAACCTACTCTCAGAGAAGGAGCTATTAATATTAACCATGTTCCCAAACACGGGGAAGCCATTGTTATGGTCATTTGGGGGCATATTAATAGATTGGTAAGTCAAGTAGATCTTAAATCAAAGCCTTCTTCTCCTATTCCTTTGGAACTTAATCTAACCTGTGTTGTTCTTTTTCTTAAAATTCTTGTTTCAGAGAGTATGGAGACCAAAAAATGTGAGTCTATTCTACCTTGTGTGAAGGTCAGAGAGTTTGAGGTTGCTCAAAGTTGTTAATAACAAGTGTGGCTACACAGCCTGGTAGGTGTGTAGGGTGTGATTGCTTGGTATGTTGGACATTAAAATGGCCTATCCAGGTAGATCCTCTCCACTCTGACCACAGGTCAGAATTCAAGCAGACTTCTGCTCCTTCTTTTGAATTAGGAGGTTTGACCTAGGAAGTGCCTGCCTTCAGGATACTTGGTCTAGAGTGGTTTCACTGCCTAAACAACAGAATGCTTTTCTCAAGAATGAGTGACTTGATGTCTCCAGTATTGAAGGAAGTAACTGCTCTAGTTGTTCATTGTATCATTAAAGAAGTCTTTGGCTTTCCCTCCTGTTGTATTGGGTATAAAAGTATATGGAAAATTAAACACAGGGATTTCAGTATTCACTGGAGTTCCTTCCCAACACTATCCTGTTTCTGTTTTATTATTTTCACTCACATCTTCATTCTCTTTATTTATTTTTCTAGGTAGGTGTTATACTTGTAGAAGCTGGTCTCTGACAAGAGATGTTAGGAACCCAAAAGATCAATATTCATGTATTTATCAAGGCCTCTGGGGGGGGCACTTGTCCCCGCTCTGTCCATCAGGCATTCTCTGCTACTACCACAGGGTGAGGCTGAGATTGGGGACCACTGCCAGCTTGGTACTGTCAGGTCATGGTCTCTATGCTCACAGACAGTCTCATGTCAGTTTTAATTCTTGATAATGGCTCTCTTTCTCTCTCTGTCTCCATCTGTCTATCTATCTGTCCCCCTCCCTCTCTCTCTTCTCTCTTCTCTCCTGCTACTCCTGCCCCAGAGGTCGATCTCCCCTCTCCCCTTCCTTCCTTTTCTTATTCACTTCCCCCTAATAACAAAACAATTCTTGATAATGTTCTGATTCTATTCAAACATTTTAATCACGGAAAGTATGGATATGGACACATTTTCATTAAAACGGCTTTTTAAAACCTACTTCTACCAAAGAAAATTCTCAGTGAACTCCTTATACATTTAGCTAATCCTCTCCTTTTTAAATTTCATTATTATTTTAGTCAAATAATTATCATTGGTCCATTTTTTCATGTAAATTTCATAGTAAAGACTTACTATAATAATTCTTTTGTCAATATTCTCTTCTAAATGCTTATGTGATCACTTCTACCAAGTTAATTTTTACAAGTTTATTTTAAAGGTTTAAATCTTACAGAAAAGATTTATGTGTCAATTATTAGCAATAACAGATAGACTATGTGCACCATTACCCACTGATTATTTTTAATATTTGCTAAAATTTTTTAGATGAGACTACATTGTTTTTTTGCTTGAGTCAACGTTTGTACTTTGACTTCTCTGGGACAGCACTGCCTCATCTGTTACCAATTTTAGACTATTTCAAGTTATATTTTATATTCTTTCAATCAACAATATTCCCTATAGATGGTATAAAAGGCAGTCTGTATTTATTCCTTAATTTGCTTCTAATATGGTAAGTAACTCCTTTTAGCTAGCCCTAGACAGCCCTGCTACATAGGATCATTCGGTTATGGACATTTTGTATATGTATTTTTAGGGTCTGTGCCTCTTATATTAATTGCCTCTACATGTGCTACGCCACCAACGTGAGTTCAACATAATGTAATAGCTTTTGATTGCAGACAATTCCCAAGACTCTACACATTCAAATCA